CCCCGAGAGAACAAATTTTTCGTCTTTATCATGCTCGTTTACTTTTCGATTAAGTTGACAAGGATAAAACATTCGTTCTATCGGGGAGCTCTACTCTCTGAGATGAGAATCGGGCTCCTGAGGGAGCTATGAAGTACAGGCTGAAAAAATAAACTGAAGAATGCGTTAACTGGAAGATCGAGAATAATGCAGAGAAGAGGAAAGCTATCCCATTTCAGCCATCAAATTGGGTTTTTTAAAACAATGTTTTGTGAGATTTGGTTGTTGAGGCACATGGATCTTCTTCGAGGATTTACCACTTTTCTCATTCTCCGTTTGAACGAAATGTTATTGGTTTGAAAACGTTAATGTTAAATCGTTCAGGAAATGAAGTAGGAGTCACGGCGTTCTAGAGGGGTCAGTACGCTACCAAAAAGAAGCCCTATATTTAGAGGTTCTTGAGGAAGCCTATTTTACCACATAGGGAAGCGATGCCTGTGAGGTTCTTGTAGTTCTTAAATAAATGAGGCTGGCCAGATCGTCAGAACATCTCCCATAGTCATAGCGATAGAATAACGATAACGACAAGTCGGCCGCCTTGCGTCTATGTTCGAGAGATTGCACTGAATCGGTTAGAGTTGGATTATCGATTATTTTTTATTGCTTTTCTCGGTACTGCATCTAATAGAGCCAACGAATGCTTGAGACCATCGCTTCAGGGTTTTTATTCTTGAAACGAAGGAGCAGCGTTCCCAGAAGAACGAGTCTTCCGTCGTTGTTTCCTATATTATCAGTTGCATATCATTGAGAAAGACGGAACACTCGTTCTTTTGGGAACGCTGCTCCCCTGTTTCAAGAATAAAGACCCAGATGTGGGAATAGTATTTCATACATATTCTGATTTGAGCCAGCTTATAAAAGGTCATTATATGGTCATATACGAGATGGTCGATGCGATAACACCAAGAAGAGATACTGAGGGATTGCTATAGAAAGGTTTTATCCCGACATCCTTAAAATTGGGTTATCATCCGCGGGAGATTTCTTATTTGAGAATAGTGTTGCTCGAGTTTTAGAAGCATTGAATTTGGCTGCAGTGAGCAGTTTATCAGAAAAGAAAGATGCAATCAAGCTACTATCGTTCGCAAACCTGTCCTGTATATGGGCTTTTTTTGTCACATTTAACAAATCATTTATACATACAAATGAGAAACAGTGTTGAGGACAGAATTACTGAATTGAGCCTTGGGGAATGGCGGCATTTATAGGCAGTGTATCAGAAGACAAACCATCGACCATAACATCCAGTGACCTGCCTTCCAAAAACCTCTGCAGCCAATGGCAAAATTCATTTAGAAGACCATGAGATGGAAGTTTGCTGAGGAGACGTCCTTGCCACGCTTGATCAAAAGCCTTGGAGATATCCATATACTACAATTCTGGATTAGCCATATTTTTCGAGAGTCTAGTTCCAAATATGAGTGACGTACGCTAGCAGTTCCCCTGTTGATCTTTTAGAACGAAACCTGTACTATTTGTCAGATATGAGCTTATTAATTTCGAGGAATTTAATCAGTTTCAAGTTAACTGCCTTTTCCATTACTTTCGGAAGACGGATATAAGTGAGATGGGACGATAATTGCTAGGAAGAGTACCCGATCCACTCGAGCAGTCCAAAATTCGATTATGCACTTGTTGGTTGTGTAACTCCTTAGCCTTGTTGGTTATTCGGTTGCAATCATTGTGAACGATCGAGTTTGTTTGTTGGTTTCGGAGCCATTAGGCACGATATGCGGTGTTGTTTTTTGCAACCGCTCAAACACTCTGCTTGTTAAACCAGGATTTTCCAACACGGGATGTTTTATTGGAGTGTGGAATGTACAAGTCCATACCTAAGGAAATTATTCCTGTAACCTCTGGTGCAGACTCGGAGGAATTTTTGGATTTAAAGCAAGCATCGGAGGCCTCTTTTGAAACGAAATCGGAAATACGTGTAGGCTCTTCTACCAACTGGGTTAGGCCGTGTGAAATGGCAAATGCTTCAGCAATCTTTACACAACATTAAATTCTCCCAAGAATATAATCTGGGAGTTTCGATGCGTCTCCTAGATAGAATCAAATAAATTTACCAGATTTTCAAATTGAAATTCATAAGTGGAGTCGTTGGAAGAAAGACAGATACAGCAAATAAACAAACTAAACCATTTTCGTAGATGAAGATGGGGTTTCCATAAAGGTTTTTCGGAATTCAGGACAAAGGAGTCAAGAAATCCGGAGAAAATCCTGAGTTCGCCGAAATAGCTATTTATGCAACAAGTGTGTAAAGTGAACCTTTTTTCTCGAATGTGATCTCCGAGTTTTCTGGACATTGTTCCGAATTCCGGCCGGACTCCCCCGGACACCCTAAAAACCCAAACATGTCTGGGTAAATCCGGACGTATGGAAACCCTAGATGTAGACTCCCCTCTTACATTCTTCTCCCGGAGATCCGAATGGGAAGGTATTCGAGTTCCGGAATTCTTTGCACGAAGGATGTCCCATCATTATTTGCGATACAATTTACCGAGTTATGGATTACCTCGTTTTGAAAAAGGCGGAGATGCGCTGCCTAAGGAAGCTTCCCTCAGACCTTCATTCTCCCAGAATGTAGTCCCTTAGTTCCCATTTTCTAACTCTAGCAAACAACTTCCCACATAACAGTGAAAGAACATTCATATTCTCAGAATATTCCCTCAAAGTGCTTTTTGGAATGTTCTTTTAGGAATGTTTAATGAATATTCTAAGATTGTTTCGATTGAAATATTAATTTTTGAACGTTCTATTTATGTACTAGGTATGTTGCTTCTATGCACCTACCTGAAAGATTGTACTAAGAACCTACTTTATATAACATCATTTAAACATTGTCATGCGAACATTATTATAATGTACCCTAAAAAATGTTCTTTTGGCTAATATCTCTATCAAGTATTAAGAATATACCTACCAAGTTGTGCTGAGAAGTTTATAGGTAGGTAACCATGATAGGAATATTTTCATATTGTTCACCTAATTATTTAAAGTACCTACTCAAAAATCTCAATTGAACAATTAAACAATAATGCTCTATCTAGAACCTTCTAAGAATATTATAGGTATTATTCTTTTTCTTTTGCTTTGTAGGACTTCCAAGAGAGGGAGCCACGCGTTAATAAAGATCTACATCTTACCTCGCGTTTGAATCACCTTGGAACCTGTTTCTTTCAGTTGGCGTGCTTCGACGGGAGCATAACAAGCTCGAAACCGGAGCTTTGGTTAAATACTTGTGTTCAGAAAAGTTTTCCAACAACTCTTTCACTGCCTTTAATATAAAAGGCCTGAAAGGAGCATTATTTGGAAACGAAAATTAACATTCCAAGTATATCCTTAGAATCAAACAAGAATGTTATGTCTAGGATGCATATTGAGAATGATATATGTAGATATATTCTAAGAATATTTCAAGCATATTGGTATAATATTCTTTTGAGAACATAACTTTAAAGTCATTCTACATTCATATATATTTTGAGCATATTTTAAGAATCAAACAGGAATATTCTTTTCAGGATGTACTGAGAATCTCCTAGGTATATTCTAGGAATATCCTAATGGATTTCCCAGGAAGTTCTTGGGTATTGCAAACAGTATTTCAACAATCTTTTCTCAGAACATTCTCAGGACATTCGCAATGGTTTTGGCGAACATTCTAGGCACATTCCTCCTAAAAAAAAGAACATTCTTAATACATTCTAAGGATGCAATTTTGTTATGTGGGTTCCAACTTCCATTGAGATGAATGAACGTGGTGGGTGAAGTTCCCGATTTTAGACTCCCCTAAACATAGGTACCTACTTCATCATAAACCACTAGAATATTGTGGTACAAACATATTATAATTAATATATTATCCATGTTTATGAAACTAAATACATCTCTTATCAATAATTATTGTAACGTAGTAGATTAATGTTCACCAATCACGATATCTTTCGTGCTGCTATCAACCAGCAAGTGCACACGGGTGAATTTTCGATTCTTTTCCTAATAGAGACATTAAGCCTCTAGGGCGGTAACCTTTCAGGCAATATAATTCAACCGTTACGGCCATTTATTACAAGAGCTATAGCCGTTTATTGCGCGAAATTAATCAAAAAAAAATGCAATTTCATTTATCTAATGCATTTTGTGCTATTTCTGTACTGAAACGCAGCAGGCACCAGGAAGCGGCGGATATTTTTTATTCCGATGACGTAGAAAAAGTACCCCTCAGAATTTTCTAATTTTCACTCCCCAAAAATGTTTGAACAAATCGAAATAAATCGTCCGAAAATAAAACCTTCTCGCTCCGTAAAAAAAAGGCAAAGGAAAGGGTAATTCTAAGATCAAATCCCTTGAAGTGAAAAATAATCTATTTCCATTATTAAGATTCTCGCTAATGGAAAACAAACAAATTATAAAAGTAGAATGGTCATAATTCTAAGCACTCTAAAAGCATAAAGTTAGGTTAATGGCCCGAGTTTTCAGGATTTACATTTTACTCTCGCGACATTTTCTATCCAGCGAACCGTTCATTTAAACTTTAGAAATTATTTATCAGTGTATTGAAAATAAAGCACAGAATAAAAAACCTCGATAGCATTTAGGAAACGACTCGATTATCCACAAATGGGTAACTGAAGAATACATTGCGCTGGACCCTCATAACATTACATACCTGATTCAAGATTTTTATCACGATCCTTTTGATTTATATCCACTTTTCCAAAAACGCTCTATTTCCCCTCTCGAAACATAAATATCGGAACATAGCCAGATAATAACCCGTATGGCATAGTTCAATTCAATTTTCAGCTGATCTAATCGTCATGATGCACTTTTGTGCTGTGTTCATTTTATATCCAACCTGCAGGGTTTTAAAATGAAACGCCGATAGCAGTGAGTTTTTGATTCTAGGTCAAGTTAATAATTGTTTTTGCTTTTTTTTTCAATTCCATTATATTCTAATGGCCTACTTCACTCACCTGTCTATAAATATGTGCATTCAAAACAGCCAACGACAAAAACGGCACCAAATACATACAAATCAAATATAGCCAATGTATGTAGACAGTCTGATAGATTTCGTTATCCCGGAAATCCGATTGAACAGGACAATAAATCGTTGTGTTGTACTCGGGCGACCATTCGGACTTGATCTTGCCTTCCCACAGTCTTGGAATATTGTAGAGGAACGAGAACACTACTATCACTATGACGTAGATGCGGGCGCGTCCGTAAGTGCATAGCGATCTAGCTCTCAAGGGGTGACAGACGGCTACGTAGCGTTCTAGGGATACTGTCATGGTGAGGTAAACTGACGCTGTTTGCATTACTGTAGCTAGCGGATAAGCTGCGGAGGCTATGTGTGGATAAACTCTGGAAAATAATTATGAATGTTTAGAAATATTTTAACTCACGAATTATTTTTTTATTATAGGTTTGCTTCAAACTATTAGAAAACCGTTTACAATAAGCTAGCTAATTCATATTATTAAAAGTTTATTTGTATAATTTTTACTATTATGATTGCTCACTCACTTCTTTCCATTTTTGTTGTTATTCTCATGGTTGTTTTTTTTTTTTTTTCACGATGATAGTTGCTATCATGACTTCAACTATCCTCCCTTATGCTTTTTCGTAAATCATCAAACTAAAAGTGTGATTAGTCCGGGGGCCGAGGACCTTTTTTTCAAATCATTAATAACAAGCTAGTTTTTCCAATGCAGTTTCATTTCACCGAGACGCCCAACTTTTTTTCAACGAAAATTGCGAAAACAGGTAGCTGACATACTGCGCAGGTGTAAAACATGTCGATTTGGTGACTATAAAAATTTAATCAATTACAGTTAGTTTTTTAGCTAAATGTTGAGATAATTTTATGAATATAAAGTTGATTTTTTCAATGTAGGTTGGTAATAGTATATTACATACCGAGGTGGAAAGTGTTTCATTACTGTCGAGAGATTTAAGTTAGACCGAGGCGCAGCCGAGGTCTAACTGAAATCTCGAGACAGTAATGAAACTTTTCACCGAGGTATGTATACTATTTTATTTACAATCATTCGAATTTTGAAATTTTCATTTGGATTAAAACTAAAAAATACAATAATTAAGAATTTCATTTACTTTCGGCCCACGGGTCGAAAGTTTACTTTCGACCCGTGGGCCGAAAGTAAAAGTAAAAAAATACAATAAATTTTAAAAATTTCATTTACATTCGGCCCACGGGTCGAAAGAAAACTTTCGACCCGTGGGCCGAAAGTAAAAGTAAAAAAGTGACATTTTCGAACTTTTTAAAAGTCAGTAAAGTCAACATTACATGTATGATTGTAAATAAATATTATTACAATTAAATGGTCACACTGTCCTATAAATAAACAGGTAGCTATTTTCAGTCCTACACTCAAAAGTTGTTGATTTCACGATTCAACTTTTTTCATTAATAACCGGCTAAATCTTCGTGAGCATCTTCATTTTGATAAAACGCCCAAATTTTCTTTTGCCAAAATTCCAAAAACATGTAACTAACAGAGTGCGCAGGTGGAAAACATGTCTATTTGGTGATCATACAAATGTAAATAATAACAGTTCATTTTGTAGCGAAATGTTGAGATAGTTTCATAACTAATATGGTTTGATCTAGGCTGTCTCCCTTCTCAAACATGTAGCAGATACGTTACATAAAAAATGATTTATAACTAGTTGATTTTTTTAATGTAGCTTAGTAAATATTACTACAATTAAATGGTTACACTGTCCTACAAATAAAGAGGTACATTTCTCCAGTCCTACACTCAAAAGTTGTCGACTTTACGGTAATACTTTATTCATCAATCACCGACCGGCTAAATCTTCTCGAGCATCTTCGTATTGATAATACGCCTAACTTTTCTATTGCGAAAAGTTGCAAAAGTAGTAGCTACTAAAGTGAGCACTAGTGAGGAGATGTAAAATACCTTGATTAGGTGATTATGCAAATGTAATTATTAACAGTTAACAGTTAATTTTTCAGGTGAATAATGAGATAATTTTATAAATAATTCGAAATTCGATTTGAGCCTCAAAATAAATGGTTTGTTCTGCAGTGTCCCCTTTCTCAAAAATGTAGCAATTACTGGCTCATAAAAAACGATTTATAAGCAGTTGATTTTTTTACTGTAGTTTGGTAAATATAACTGCAATTACACATTGTCTTAAAGAAGTAAGATTTCTCAGCCCTACATTCGAGAATTTCGAAAATAGCCTTATACATATTATACGTAAATATGTACAGGGCTTTCATTTCAAAACTTGCCATCCACGTTATCTGCGTAAAGAGACAGATTTCTAGAAAAAAAGATTAAATTCAAGAATTTTACCTTTTGTATTTTAAAAAATATATTTATTAAAATATTTGATTTTTGATATTATTTGAAATGAACATATCTCTTTTATTTTTGAGCTGTCGAGAAAATATTATTTGGAAAAGTCCTGTATTTTTTAAGTTCCACGTCATTTAAAAAGGAAAACCTCAACTTAGAAAACACCCTGTATATAGGGTGATTCAAAAAAGCGCGCCAGATTTAATACATTAAAAAAGGAGCTCAATTTTTTTTAATATCTCTAGAATTAAGATGAACCGGTTGGATCAAACCTTCTCAAGCATATGCGCGTCAATTCGTGTGTGTACATACACATAACACATATACTGTTATACACGCATCTGTGTACGTACATGTACATACAGGGGCTTTCATTTCGAAATTTGCCACCCACTTTATCTGCCTAAAGAGACAGATTTCTGGAAATCGCCGGAACACGTCTAGAAATTAACGTAGGTACCCCCTCAATAAATTTATTGACGTGTTTCGGCGATTTCTAGAAATCTGTCTCTTTACGCAGATAACGTGAGTGGCAAGTTTTGAAATGAAAGCCTTGTACATATTTAAGTATAATATGCATAAGGCTATTTTCGAAATTCTCGAATGTAGGGCTGAGGAATCTTACCTCTTTAGGACAATGTGTAATTGTAGTTATATTTAGTAGTGAAAAATCAATTGGTTATAAATCGTTTTTTATGAGCCAGTAATTGCTACAGAGAAAGGGGACCTGCAGACCATACCATTTATTTTGTGGCTCAAATCGAATTTCAAATTATTTATAAAATTATCTCATTATTCACCTGAAAAATTAACTGTTAACTGTTAATAATTACATTTGCATAATCACCTAATCAAGGTATTTTACATCTACTCACTAGTGCTCACTCTAGTAGCTACTACTTTTGAAACTTTTCGCAATAGAAAAGTTAGGCGTATTATCAATACGAAGATGCTCGAGAAGATTTAGCCAGTCGGTGATTGATGAATAAAGTATTACCGTGAAGTCGACAACTTTTGAGTGTAGGACTGGAGAAATGTACCTCTTTATTTGTAGGACAGTGTAACCATTTAATTGTAGTAATATTTACTAAGCTACATTAAAAAAATCAACTGGTGATAAAGCATTTTTTATGTAACGTATCTGCTACATGTTTAAGAAGGGGGACAGCCTAGATCAAACCATTTATTTTGTCGGACAAATGTTATTTCATATTATTTATGAAACTATCTCAACATTTAGCGACAAAATTAACCGTTATTATTTGCATTTGTATGATCACCAAATAGACATGTTTTTAACCTGTGCACTCTGTTAACTACCTGTTTTTGGAATTTTCGCAAAAGAAAATTTGGGCGTCTTATCAAAATGAAAATGCTCACGAAGATTTAGCCGGTTGTTAATGAAAAAAGTTAAATCGTGAAATCGACAACTTTTGAGTGTAGGAATGAAAATAGTTACCTGTTTATTTGTAGGACAGTGTGACCATTTAAATGTAATAATATTTGCCAACCTACATTGAAAAAATCAACTTGTTATAGGTTTTTTACGTTATATTTAGGATGACGTCACATTTAGTAAATTTCTGCTGCCAACCTGAAAAAACTGAAAGTACTTTTTAACGCATTTAAAGTAGGGGAATTTCAAAAGTTTTTGTTTGGTAATGGCGCGCGACGATGCACGATTTATATTTAAAAAAATATAAACTTTTTCATGTAATGCCTGTCGATTCATTTCATTATTTTTACTTGTCACTGGTTTTGTCAATTTATTATTAACTATTTTGTATACTTAATTTTAATTAAGTGCCAAGAATATACAGTTTAAAAAAGTTCTTCTAAGAACTCGGTACTTTTTCATAACGCGTGAACTAGGTAACCTCAGAAAATGCCTAAAGGTTTGTCGAGTCAGTCGCAGGAGATGGTAGCAAACCTAATATCGTATTTCGAGCAGGAACGCGATAATGGAGGACCATTTTTGCCTCTTACTGCTGTGAGGGATGTAAGTAAATTACCTATTTTTATTATATAGGTACCTATTTATTTGAAAGTATAAATTAAAATATTTTTCTATGATTCTAATAAAATGATGTCTTTTTAGCGAGTTGTAGCTGCATTAAAATTAGGCCGTTGTACTATCAATAGCATTGCAGCGAAATGCCGTAGAGGAGAACCACTAAAAAGTCCATCAAAAAAACGTAATCGCACAAAAACTGTTGTTAATATTGATGAGTTTGATCAAATTGCAATCCGAAATGTTATCTACGAAATGTATAAAAATAGTGAGTGACTAAATTGGCTCTGTGTCATTTGAGCGACAACCGTTTGCGCGAAGGACAAAAGCGTGATGGAACAAAAACGCGATAGGACAAAAGCACGATGGGCAAAAACGCGACTGAAATAAAAAGGCTGGATAACAGCGCGAGGGACAAAAATGCAAATGGAATTCAAGACATTATAAAACTTACTCATAAAAACCCGGTTAGTTTGTAATTTCAGTCAGACATTTCCAAACTTACTCATAATAACCCGGTTAGTTCGCAATTTTAGTCAGACATTTCCAAACTTACCGATAATAACTCGGTTAGTTTGGGTTGGCGCGACGGAACAGAAACGCGCCGATAATTATAGACACCGTCATGCTGTATTTCAGTCACGTTTTTGTTCCTCACGCTTTTGTCCAGTCGCGTTTTTGTTCCATCGCGCTTTTATCCCTCGCGCTTTTCGTATCGCGCTTTTCTCCCTCGCGCAAATGGCACAGAGCTAATTGAATTATATTTTGTTGGTGTTCAAATAAATCTTTATTAACATTATTTCAGAGAGACATATTACTTTGAAAACCTAACGAAATAAACTAATTGAACGTGATATTGCTTGTGGCTGCTTGACATCATTATGGAAAATTGTGAAAAATATTGGCTTCAACTATAGCAAAGATGATCCACGACGTGGGCTAATGGAATTGCCAAGTATTGCTCTAAAACGAGTTAACTTTTTGAGAGAATATGTTCGACTCAAAAATGGAGGTTTGCGACAGTTTGTTTTTCTTGATGAAACATGGATTTTCCAAGATGGCACTATTGGTCGTTCTTGGCAGGATTCAAGTACCAAAAGTGTAAAGAAGACTAAAGTTGGTGGCAAAAGGTAAATTTTCATATAGGGTTTTCCATCGAACAATGCTGTTAATATA